TCAAAATTCCTCGGACAGCGTCTGTTGGCGACGGCAGAGGCTGCCGCCATCAAGCTACGTCGACCAGTGCTGTGCGCCCTAAAGTACTTCGTCGCGGCGCCACAGTTACCATGGCCGAAACTAGCTAACCACGCCAAACACGGTGGACCACTGGCCTCGGAAACGAACCCCGCAGAGACGAACAAGTCCCAAATCCAACCATGCACACCTTATCACCTGCTAGAGATTGACGTTCTGTCGGCAACTTCCCCAACCACCCCCCACCTCTTTTTCCCCCCCACTCCACCGACCCTGTCAACAATAACGCGAAATCTGTCCACGAACCACCATAGTTTATTTATTTCATTACCATATAACTGTAAAGGCCTGACGAGAATATATCGAAAACAAACGTATGTTCGCCAATTTATCTTCTGCAAAATTAAATAGTAAAAGGCCAAAACTAGGTTCGAAGGATACAAATGATAAGAACAATAAAAACTGACCGGATCAGAGCTCCGTTATCCTTTACTTGAGAGACCAGTTCGAACTTTAGGCTGACACCGGCCGCACTGACAGACTGCGTATATGTGGTAATCAGTGGTTTGCCATCTAAAGGAGAATAAGCAGCTATCATTTGTCATATGTGATTGAAAAGCAGGCATGGAGCAACTGAGTCCGCCAGAGTCAGTTAAAAGGAACCGATCTTCTTTACGTGAGTAACTAGAAAACATGAATCGAGGTGCGCAAGTTAATTCTTTTTTGGGTTTATCCTGAAGGGCAAACAGAGAACTGTCTCGATTTCAGATGAATAACCAGTGATGCTCGTACTTGAAAATCTAACGAAAGTACGACTTACAGATTACAATTAATTTAATTTCCAGTCTAGACATAGGCACTAATTTAATGTCCAGAATCATCCGTTTTCCTCCTTGTTTGAAATGGAGCGGTTGCAGGGGCTCACTTCACGAGACCACTGTGGCGCCCTGCGAGCGTTTCTTCTTTCGCATTCAAGTATTTTATAAAGAAGGTTCATTCGAGCGTGCATCGGAACCTTTTACTCAAATTTACAGAGTTCTGTGTAGGTGGTCATACGATTCGTCCTTGCGAACGCATCATCCCAGGATCTCTTCTTCCCAATTATTTCTGATAGAGTATGAGTTATAGAAACTAACTTTTTAACAGACAAGTCTTCCTAACAGAGATTGGCGTACCGAAAAACGAAGAACATAATCTCAATCCACCTGTATGTTTCAGCGTTGGTTTTCAGTGGCAGTATTTACCACCAAAATCAATCATTAGTAGTTTAGCATTATTTTTGGATTAGCGTTTACTAGGGTCTATTAAGAAATAGTACATTTTGGAATGGGCTGAAGTTATGGAACCTGCGGATTTCAAAAAGCACTTTTGAGGTATGACAAGCGAGACATCTGCTTATAAACACTGGTAGTCTGATAGTCACGGGCCTAGAATGTCATATAACGACTGTATTACTTTTGGTATGTTGACTTTTCTTAACTTCATGTTTTAAATAAAGAGCAAAAAGATTTGGATACTTTTTTTTGAAATTATCTATTTAAAATACTCTGACGAAGTGAAAACATACAGAATTTGGATTGCTTTGCAAGACTTATATGCATCCCAAAATTTCGAGAAAATATGCCTACAAATTCATTAAACGGAACTGTAACAAAATACGAATTAAGAGAAGTCGAGAGTAACAATAGGAAAAATAAATCAACTTTTCCTGAAAGCAATTACATTTGTATATTGATAAAATCCGAAAAAACGAACATTAATTAAAGTACTTTCATCTGATAAGAACCTTGTTGCATGGAAAAAAGCTAGCAAAAAATGTCATTGTCCGGTCTGGGAAAGACTTCGAAAGAGCGTTGTGTCAGTTCGGATCAATTTATAACCAAACATGAAACCTTCTCTTGGCGAACGAAAGGCTATGGATTGCAGTTTGAATGTTGGGATTTTCTGTCCGTTCAATATTCAGAAATGAAAATTGGCAGTACACTTTTGCAGAGAAAATTCTCCGGCTGAACGTATATGGCTATACAGGCATGTAAAATGCCTTTGTGCTGAACACCTATAATTTAACTCCAAATTTTGTCCATCACAAATTTCCCCAGAATGTCTCTGAAGGGTCCTTAACTGGAACATTATCAGTATTTATTTGTCCATAAGGTTCTCATTAGCCTTTTGGTAATTTTGTGCATTTGAAGGTTCTGAGTATTCATATTTCGTGGGATCTTGTTTAAAGTTAGCCATAAATTGGGTGTCTAGTGACGTAGTCTGACGACTCTTCAAAGACTAAAACTGAGTTCAGGCAATATACATTTCAAGGTTCCGGTAATCATCAAGCAATCATCAAGGCAATCATTAAGCGAAAACGCCAGCATACCTTTTGTCCAAGAAAGATCGGGTGGGGGGTTTCCTTTTTCGCTCATGCAAGTCAACTCATATGCATGGGACATCTTAATTGGATGGCTAACTGGTGCGCCAACTATGGTTGGCTTCGAGGGTGGATCTAAAACCAAAAAGTATCCACTTTGAATATCTCTGTTATCACAACCATCCGGTTCAGAAACCGTTTAGTATAATCATATCGACGAGGGGGAGAAAGACGTATTAAAATTTGTTTTGCCTCTGCTTTCTAGATCCTCACTGTTTTATAATCACGGACTTCGGGAATAAAATAGGTCACGTTATTAATCCAAACAGTCTAGGCTTTACGATAAACTACTCCACAGACATCTAAATGTATGTATAAATGCGTATATTTCAGTGTGCGACTACACAAGAAATAGGACATTGGGACATGAAGTGAAAGAAACTGTTGCGTAGTAATCGTGTTTCCAATTTGAACGTATTGTAGGTTAGTTTTTATGTGTTTATTAACGGTTAAATAGACGGAAATAACAATTTCAGTTTTACGCAGCTGTCCAAAGCTATCAAGAATGACGCTTTAGCGCATTTTTTTGAAAAACGTTGTTTCGGAAAAACAGCAAGGATGCAACGGTACAGGTGCTTATTCAAAAAGAGAGAAACGAGGTCAGTATACGCAATTATTGTCATATTTATGATATTAAGTGTTTAGCAAATTTCATTTTAACTGCTTAATCCGTGTCGCTATTACATGTTTCAAGTCGACTTTGGTCAGACTACGCGCTTAATTGAACTCCAAAATGAACGCACGGTCCTACTACCTTAAATTATTATTTGTGCAATGGGGTTGACAGAAATATGCCTTATTAATGATATAATATAAACTATTAAAACCAAATCAAGTGAAAAAATTTTCCGAGGACTAATTTAAGTACAGTTCTTTCTAACTAAAGTCGTTAGTCATTTGGACATCATTCAAACCTTTAACCTTTTAGAAGGGACGACAGTGACATGAGGACCGCGTTATAACACTTAAGTATGGGATAGACTGCAACCGACAAAGACAAGGGAGACCGGGACGGCAAATTCTGGCCTATTATCCGTAATCATCCAGTCATACCGAATCCCAGGTGGGGATGACTCCACTCCATCCTATCCTAATAGTCGCTATGCGACTACCTGCAAATGCTGTAAAGTGAGCTCCGGGGCAAAAAGTGACCGTACATGTTCCATTACCAGATCGCCGAGCATAAAAATTTGCATTAAAGTATATATCGAACTGGCAGATTAGTAGTAAAGATGAATGCAGGAAGTCTACACTATGCGCACAAGAGAAAACCATGAAATCAGACGGAAATGAGTTAGAAAAAGAAACTTACATAGGATATCCAAACGAATAGCCTTTTCTACCACGACTCTGTCATCAGCCCAGGCCTCGCATATCAAAACGCCGACTTGATCATGAGTAGGCATGACTACATCGAGAGTTGACTCAGAAACTTGCCTCTTGGTATTGTCGTAGTTGAACGTTCGCTGGGGTGCAGTAGGATTAAGCGGCATGCTGAAACCACCCATCTTTTTCAACCACTTGATGGTTACAGTTCCGAAGTAGGGAGAGGTTTTGCAGTTAAACTTTAGCACTGTGTTTTCCTTGCCGAAAGCAACCAATTCTTCCCTGCCATCATAGAACCCTTTGAGTAGACGACCATTTTTCAGTTCTATCGTAAGCTTTCTAGGTGGATCTGAAAAAGATTTTTAACACAGTTTCATATTTCTCCTAGACCCAATGCAATTCAGCAGGTTAAGACGATTTTTTCAGATCTGCACGTCTTCCGCCCAATAAACCTTTAAAGAAAATAAGTACGTACTGCAATGTAATGAGTAGTAGAATAATCATCCTCAAATGCTGTACCTTGTAGCACAAATGCAGAAACATTTATAAGGTAACACATAACGACTAAGATATGGTTTACTAGGAAGTAGAAAGATTGCGTGTTACGAACTGTACACAAAGGAAATTTTATTATAGGCTGCGAAAGTACACTTAACATATTCGGGTACTTGCACAGATTTAATACATTTGGTTGGTCGCCAAGCTCATGCCCCTGTCTCCTGCCTTATGGGGGTGAATTCCCCAGTGCCGGCCGAAGTCTCTTTTTTCCTCTTGCACGATCATGTTGACCCTTTTGACCTGTGAGGTTTCTGTTGCTCCGTGTAGAACACACAAGGCCTAGAGGACGAAAATTGTGCTGAGGAGTAATGCAAGTAACTCAGTGATCTAACCTCCTTCTAACACGCCCTCAATCCTACTTACAATCTACTCTGATTGCTATCCAGATGGGTCTATTACAAAAATCAGATTTGGTAGTCGTAAGATCGACTTAGGGAAGCTAAGTTTCAGGCATTCAGTTAACAAGAACTTGAAAGTTTGGTTAATAACTTGAGCAAAGACCCTGTTCAAATTCCAAAGCAGGATGAATGTCATGGACTGTTTTGAAGGTTGAACTAGTGACACTCAAATTTGCGTGGATTTGTCGTCGATGAACTATAGTTTTCTGATCATTGAGCAACGATCGTGTGTGTGGCACAATTTAGAAGAAGTGAGACATGAACTCCCGTAGTACGGAAATAGTGATAGGACGCATTTGTGGGCACCATAAACGAAATTTAAAAAAAGCTCATTTCGGTAAGCAAAAAAATACAAATTATAGTTACGCCAATAGTTAAAAAAGTATAATCACAAAGCGTAAGAGCACATACGCGTAAGTTTAAACACTCTGAAGTAGGAGCTGGAAATGCGTAGAAAAATAAAAAAGTGGTGATGTTAGTTAAATATTTCGTCTGCAACGATCCCAGTCAGTGATGACGGTAACTCCGCTACTTTTAATGCCTGCGAATGAAAATGTACTTGGAGCTGACATAATTTGTAACTTAACCCTTAACGCTTGCTATATATCTAAAGCCTGACCCATATATTAAACCCCTAAGCCCGACCAAAGCCCAACACCGTAACCCTAACCATTAATCCTAGCTCCACCACTAAACTCAAACCCTTACTTATCCACCCAAACCGAACACTGACCCCCTTAAGTGAGACATAATGGGGACTGCGCAAAAGGAAAGGGGGATTAACTTAAGTGTACCACAACTATATAAATATATATTTCTTCGAAGTAGGTAGGAGCGCCTATCCAATCATTACAGATTATTCTTATTATCCCACATTATACTAAAACACTAATGATAGAACGATGTTCTCAATAAAAGTTCTAACAGCGTATGCCCTCATGAAAATACCGGACTGACCTAATTAAATTTGATAACATATATCCAGAACACAGAGGGTGTTATAACGCAGGGACAGACGATATGTGTAAACTCTATATTCAAAACTGGACATTGGGAAACTCACGT